TTGAAACTTTTTCTGTTTTAAAAGGTTAGGCCAAATTTTTTTAACGCTGCTAAACCAATTTTTTAAGAATTTTGGAATTCATTTGGCTTACTTTTGCAAACTTAAATTTGTCCCATTCTGTATGTTAATTGCTATTAACAAGTGTTCTGTTAATGGACACGTTTATGACGTCACTTTATGACGTCAAACTTGAACGAACACTTGGACGTGAAGGTTTGAGGTCATAAAAGACGAGAAGCGCTCTGACCACCATTGCGGTAAGCCGTTGTTTTTATTTCTGGAAGATTTCCGATTTTCTTTTTTCCCCTACCTTATTTATTTTATATGTATGTTAATTATGAAATAAGATGGCTTAACTATTTTATACAATTCATAAAGCTTACATTTGCCTTTATTCTCATTTCTTTTGTTTAAATACACAAACAGTCCTGTGATATCGAACCGAAAGACTGTTCCCCGTTTACAAAGAGAACAATAGCCTAGCTTTTAAACTGCTGACATCTTTAACAGAGTTTAGTAAGAAGGTGGTTAAATTCAGAAAAGTGACACGAAAACAAGTGATACAAAATGTAGGTCTAAAAGTTACAAAACTTTCTTTCCAAATTAAACTAAAATGACGCAATATGCTTAAAGTAGCTTTCTTGAGCTATTCATAACGCAACAGTGACGTTTGTTTCTAAAAATAGATCGGGACTTACTTATTTTATAGAGAGCGGACCGGTGGATTAGAGGTATCTAAGGGTTACCTTAATGTTATTGTTTATGTATTTTGATTAATGACGGAAAATTTCTTGTTCCACCTTTATTCTTTTGGTTTAACAATTATATGAAACGATTTATCTAAAAATAACATATTTAATCTTTAGAAAAGCTGAAGGCCTCTTTAAACTAAAATAAGAGATATAGTTTTTTTAGGTATTGTTCTAACCATTGCTGTGATAGTGTTTGGATCTGAAACGAAGGAGGATAGTTCATCATTCAGTGTATGCTTCATACTTGCAATAGTATCTGCCGTGTTGGCATTGTTGTCTGCAGCTCTAGTAGGAAAAGCGAAACGGGGCCCGACGGGATATAGCTCAATATAATCACGGCTTGATTCAACGCAAAATACTCAACTATAGTAACTACTTTGAAACAAGTATAGAGAACTCTATTTTATATCGCAACTTACGCAATACAAAATACTGTTTAATATATATATTAAAGCAAGAGTAATAGTAAAACTTAATACCTATCACGTGATGTAATTCTAATTGTTAAAGTATTTGTGGGATGAGAATATATTGCTGCATAACAAAGAAAGTATATGAATATTTCATCTTATTTAAACATACACATTGCTAGTTCATTTTTGATTTCCAGACTAAATAAACGATCTAGAATATACACAACTGTGTGCAATTTGCATTAATACCGACACACATGTTTCACCAATCACAATGACTTTTCATTATAAAGTGTATATATTAGTTTTCGTTTCATCATGTTACAATTTATCCTTTCTGCTTATCTTGCCACTGTTAACTATTACCATGCTAGATATCTTAAATAGACGTGTTTTTTTCAAGCTGGACAAACCATATATCATTTGTATATTTCAACACATATACTGACTGACTAGCAAACAGTGCATTTTATTTTATGATTTAAATGTTGTAGGATTTTTATTAATGCTATACATGTACTGATTTGATTTCTTCATTTTGCATTTTGCAATAGATGTATAGAAGAATCTTTTTCCCGAAATGATCAAATATCATTCTACCGTTGAATATTTTTTATCGTGTTTTAAAGCTTAATTATCTTTATAACAATAATACCATTGATTTGTTAATATATAACTACTAATGATCTAATTATTGTTTGATTTAAAGTGGCGGCCGAGTGGTTAAAGGTCTTCACCGGCGACTTTGAATCTATTCATGTGGGGAATCTATCAAGCTAGCTTACGGAACATTGTTCTACTCAGGTGCCTGTTTTTGTACCTGCAATAATGCACAGAGGGGCACCTGAGGTTTTACTCCACCAGTAAAGCTGTAAAGTCACCATATGAATTATACTGTGTTGGTGGAACGTTAAAACCTACCATAATCAAAGCACAGAAGGCGCTGAATTTGTTTGGGTCACCGAATGTCAGAAAAGTGAAGTTATAAGATTATTTAACTCTATACCTCTCGATTTCTAAACGAGCGTGCAAACCCCTTGGCCAAGGTGAAGTTACGTGACAACGGCCTGAAGAAAACCATATTATTCTAAATTAGGGTTTGTAACTCCTATTATTTTGACGCTAAACATCATGGAGCTTACTATAAGCATGTACATCTATAAAGAATAAAACAATATTAGCAATCTTCGACCATTCGGGAACTGTTTTGCTTGAAAATAAATACGCCTGTCATTTGACAACCTTCACGCAGTGATCTCCCCTGAATGTTTCGGCGTTAGTGTACATATAAAGGAAAGTAACCCCTTTAAAAAAAAGCGACCACTTCCGGCAATTCGCAATTAACAGCATCAGGGTCTGAAATTTCGCTACCATTATTTGTTTGGAATGACGACCAGAACAAATAAAATTCTTCTAAGTATATTTACAGATAGGATTAAAATTTTACGCTAGCTAAGTTAATTGATAATAAATTTATAATTTTAGTGCTTTGTATAATCACCACTAAAATTTTTTTGCCTTTTATTGCTGTTCTTTTGTATGTTTTTTTACATATATTTTTTAACCTTTAGATATATTTAAACTGTTTGAAAATAAAGGTACTACATTTTTAAATGGAATATTTAGTTTTATAGTTTTACTTATGTTATGACATATTAACAAATTGTCAGCAAAACATCTGTTTAATAGACAGAAAATGGTATTTGTACATGTTATTTTCATCATCTTTCACAACAATAAACAAAAACAACAACAACAGCAATTTATTTATTGATTTGACCAGTACAGATCACCCTCACACATAAGTTATTGACATACATGTATACGTAAAAGAAGAAGTATGGAAATATAAACAAGAGAGCCATGATGGCCTTAAAAATCGCTCACCTAAACTCTCCACGACAACGTACAAGTAATATTGTAAACTATAAAAAAGCAGATATAAAATTTAACTCTTAAACTAATATCTCAAAGTTAATATTTGTATCGGAAAAAATATTTCTGGTTGCTATTGGTAAAAGAAACCCCAAGAGATGTGTACATATATCAGGAAATTCCACCCGGAGTTTTATTTGAATAAACTTGGTAGACACCCATTAGGAGATGTTTCATGCCAAATATCTAAGGTCTAGCTCTTTGGCTTTTTAAAAAGACATTTTTAAAAGTTTTTACAATATACATATAAGGAAAATCAATACCCCCTTGGGCAGGGCCAATTTTGATCCAAGGGCTTTTATTTGAGTAAACTTGGTAGACACCCATTAGAAGATTTTTTATGCTTAATATCTAAGCTCTAGCTCGTTGGGGTTTTTAAAGAAGATTTTTTTAAAAAAGTTTTTACTATATACATATAACGAAAATAAATGATCACCGGAGCAGGGCCAATTTTCACCCAAGGGCTTTAATTTGAACAAACTTGGTAGCCACTCACTAGAATACGTTTCATGCTTCATATCTAAGCTTTAGCTATTTCGGTTTTTTTTAAAAGAAGATTTTGATTTTTTTTACTATGTACATATAAGGAAAATCAATGACTCCCCCGCCCCGAAGCGGGGCCATATTTGACCACAGGGTTCTATTTGAATAAACTTGGTAGATACCTATAAGAAGATGTTTCATGCCAAATATCTTAGCACTAGCTCTTTGGCTTTTTTAAAGAAGATTTTTTAAAAAGTTTTTTTTTCTCTCAGTTGCATGGCAACCAGAGTTCTGCTTTGAACAATGTTTAAAGTTTACCACCAACGGAACATCCGTGTGAAGTTGGATTAAACCGACTAAGAGGTGTTTGAGCTGATATCGTTTAAAGTAAAAGTTTATGGACTGACGGACGACCGCCGGACGGATTGTGATCACAAAAGCTCATCTTGTCACTTTGTGACATGTGTGCTGAGAAAGAAATAAAGAAAACACATTCGCACACACACACACACACACACACACTCACCAACACACACACACGCGCACACACACACACAATAAAACTCCAACATCTGACGTTCATGGTATACTTGGTAGACTCCTGTCATCAGTTATTTGTAAAGAAACGTCTATAAAAGTTGAAAACTCCCGACTCCCCTATGTACTTGCTATATAAAGACCTATCACAAATTGTTGGGCTTCTAAACTCCATTCAATTATTGATCATTTAGGTCTTACAAGTATTCGCTATGACTGTAATGCAAATTATTTAAGTCTGTTTAAAAATAGGATCCGAGGCCAGTTAATTCAGGATTGGAATCATACAGTTAATTTTTCACGGAAATAACACTACTATTGTCAGTTTAAACATTTTTTTTTAATTTGAAGATTATTTAATTTAAATAAACAATGAGGCTACAAGAAAATCTTTTACTAGACTTAGTTCGCATAATTTTGGAAATTGAAAAAGGAAGATTGAATTGGATTTATAGACTGAATAAATTATGTAAATTATCTCATCAAAATGTTTCTGAATCTGAGTACCATTAATTTTTTTGCTATGTTGTAATAAAGATGATGATTTAAGAAGACAATGCTTGAGAAATAACCTATGGACAAATGTTTATAAATTTTCACAGCTTATTGCAACAAAAGTAAATGTAAACTTTTTAAAATTGCGAAATATATAGATAAGTCAATGAAATGTGGAACTTCTCACAGCTTCTTAACGAGTAATTAAATCATTATCTCTGAAGTATAAAATTGTTAATCAACTTGTATCAGTTTAAAAATGTAAACATGTTTTATAGTTATATTGATGTTAAATGTCTTTGCCATATAAACAGTGAATGTGCATAATTGGCCAAAGACAATGGTCATTGTCGATTTGCCAATAAACTTGAAATTTGGAAAAAAATCAATTGTTTCTCCTTATCTTCATTACAGATTTCTTGAGCGAGTAACGACGCCAGCAATTGTACCAATTAATGCCCAGATCTGTCTCCAAACCATTGGTGTGTGGGTACAATCCATTTAGATTCACATGATGACACGTTTTGTACCACCAAGCTCCGTGACAGTACACTGCACAATTTACGCTGCTGTGTAGGTCATTTTCACTGTCTTTTGTTGAGAATTGAATATTATTATGATACGACATGGAATCGCCACACGAGCCGTTATATCCCCAAACCGACAATCTGTATTTATCACTCTCATCCTTAATACTGAAGGTGGAGTATTCAGCAAAAGCAGAAACTGGATCAACATTGTCAATTTCAAACGTTTCCAAGCATACATATAGTGAACTGTCGGCAATCGTCAAATAGTATATATGTTCAAGTCCGAGCCAATACTCGCTACTCCTGTTCCCGAATCCATTCTTGTAGTCTTCCCAGTTTCTGTAGAAATCTTCTGATCCGTCTTGCCGCCGTTGTATAACCGTCCATCCACCATTGGTCATATCACACCATACATCAGTAGCAGTACTTCCTGTTGGTTTGATCACGTACACACCGTCTTCGGTATAACCTTGTTGATAAAACGCAAGACAGTCAACTGGCTCGGGTTGCTTGTGAATTCTTTTTACTTTTTGACTGCCTTCCTGTAAAACATGATAATAAACGCTTCCTTGAAAATTAAACATTTTGTTGATTTTTTTATCTGTATAAATCACTATTTGTGTCAAACACATGTCAACTGATCATTATCAAAATAAAAATGTATATTATATATTATGAGATTATAAGAAATCATTAGATATCTTAAACGTAAATTACAAATACATGTAATATCTTAAACTATGAAAGATGAGCTCCTCCAAATTGGCCGAGTCTTTGATATAGATAACGTTAGGCGATTTAGTTTATAATATATATTTTTATGATTAATAAATAATAATATTTGTTTATAAACATTCTCTTTCAAAAGTACTAAAATTGACAGCTACAAATCTTTAAGAAAAGTTTAGAAAAAAGATGCTAGATAATTAACACAAAAAATATATAGCAAATAATTATTTTTATAATGCTTACTTGAATGTACGTTATTGACACCTTTTCCTTTCTTATTCCCCGGGTAATTGTTGCGTTAGCATCATCATGTTTGTCCATGTTGTAAGAATCATCAGAATTACAATAACATGTAGAATTATTTTCAACGAAGTACGACGACGGCATTTCAAGACTTTGACATTGATAAATGCATGACACCAATGATTTACCATGTAGTACAATTAACATCGCATCTGTTTGTGGGATATAAGACACTTTATCTAATTTAGATTCAAATTTAGCACATTCCTTTTCCAAAATTTGTGCGTTTGAATAACAAAAATAAATCGCAAGAAAAATAAAAATGAAATTTCTGTTGAGAAATACAGCAACCATTTCGTCGCACGAAATAAATTATTTTTCAATTTTATCCTAGCCAATTGACAGCAAATTGCAAACTGAACTCGCTTAAACAATTTCGAAACAACAAAATATGCGTGCACAAACAAATTATGAATAATTTGCAGTGCTATTGAAATGGAAAGAACATAAAAGAATAATATTATGTTGGCTATATTGATAATCAATCAAAAGATCAATTTACCTGTATTTAATAGGATTAGTTCTACAAAACCACATTTGCAACAAAATACATGTAGAAAAATTTGTCTTCGTTATCAACAGATGTAAGACAAATTTTTGCATGTAAGTTAGATTAGATTAGGAATCATTTTTTCTATTTTTTTCTCCTAAATATTATCTTTTTAATCATCAAGAAACCAAATATAAAAGAAGGAAACAGAACGAACCTTTATCCGAGTGTAATAGTTGGAACATATATAATGAGTCACACATAATATATATATTGTTCTGGAGAGTATACTATAGTTGTACAATCGAAGTAGCCATGGTAAAAGAAGTTTTTCAGTGGTGTTAGACCTATGTATGTTTTCCGGTTACGTGAATGTAAAAGAATAAATAAAGCGATAAATTAGGAACTCGAGCAACTCTTTTGATACTAAAATAGAGCCCCATGTCCATATCTTGTTTTACAAGAAAGGCTCATACATTATAAGAGTTCATGTCATTGGCTCAAAAAAATATTGATATTAAGTAAATGATACTTAGGATGGGAACTAGATGTGCATAAACCTTATAAACTTTATCATAATGGGAAAGTGATATGAATTAGGTGATAAATCTTAAGTAATTTTTTTTTCTGATTTTTTTTTTACATTTGATGTCGCAAACAAAACAACTATTAATGTTCAGTAAAGGTAGGACACCACTAAGAAGCACTATAGGAACTGTAAAATTGACAACATAGGACAGTTATATGCTTTAAATGTAACCTGTATGCAAAATTTAAACAAAATTTACCGTGTGGTTTATGAGTTATGGACATTTTTCTGAACTAAAACTGCGCCATTAAAAGGGCTTTTTTCAGAAATGAGGAAACTCTGAAGAATCTTTTATATTATCATTTTTATATTGCTCATTGTTAAGAAACAAATAATGACATTCAGGTAACAAATTGAACAAGCAAAACGATTGTTTCTAAACGAAATGTTTTTAATATGTATAAAAATGTAACCCTACCCCACCCACTTTAAACATTTATTTGACCATTTTCATATGTAAAAAGCCTTATTTAAAATATCCTTAAAATTTTCCACAATGAGGGGCTGTTTTCAAAGTTTGCCTAAATTTTTTTAAATGTATATTGGTTGGTCTTGCCAAATATAAAATACTTTTACCGTGTAGTTTTTATTTCATTAAACTTTGAAAATATCTGGTGTCAGAAAATAATTTGCTATTAAATTTGGCATTATTTAGCAAATAAATACCTACGATAACTATATAATTAAAATCTGAGTTATTCATAAAAAGTTTAAAAAGAAAAAAAAAAGAAAAAAAGTTGCCCCTTCTGGGTTTGAACACTTGACAGTGATTCTAGCCTATTTGAATGCTCTTCAAAGTGGATATAGTGCATTTGAGGTGTTTTACCTGAAGTATCATATTGACTTCATTAAAAATAAACTTTTCTACACTAGATTGTGTATAATTGTTTCTAGGACAATCTGTCACCCTAGTGCAGTAACGGGTTAAGTCCTTGCACTAAGGTGACAAATCAAGCATCAATGAAACGATTGATTTTTACAATGCTGTTAAAATGGAAATTTTGAGCGTGTTCCTGTCATAAATATTTATTATTTGAATAGCTTATAAATAAAAGAGTGCTTTGATTGTTCTAACAATTTTGTGAAAATAAGAATCAGTTGATTAAAATGATCCTAAATACAATAGTCTGTGAGGCATATGATTTGTTCATATGTTGTTTATTCTTATTTATCATGCCATAAACATGGTTACAGTGTATCTCACTTATAATATAAATAATCCTTTACTTGAATTCTATATGTTGATGAGTTCATAATAAGATATGATAAACAAGATAAACAGGGAAAGGCGGCGTTCAATGCACGCAACCCCAATACGATCCAGCAACAATAAGCCCAACAAGAAGATCTTGACAAAAGACTCGGCCGAAGTAAAACTTGCATATGTAACTTCTAAGATTTCGATACTTATGGAAATGTAAGCACAACAATGACATTCATGTAATAAGTTCTTGAAGCTAAGAAAAAAACTTTTTGTGAACATAGATTTTTTAATTATATTATAGAAATTGATGTCTCTTCAAGTAAGACAACCTCCATTTTACAGTATTGAAGTGTTCCTATTACTTGATTTTACGTTTGACTATGCATATGCAATATTAACAGTATAATTAAAATAATCACGTATGACATATTTAAATAGAAATAAAAGGATAATGGATAGTATGAAATCAACAAATGTTTCATCTTTAATTTAATGCAAAAAGCTAAAATGAAAAATAACATTAAGAAGAGCTAAGTTATTAGAGTCATTTTATTTGAGGTAAGTTGTTATAAGAGCCATTTTACAGCTATTTTACAAACAGCTTTCAAATTTCAGGAGAGCCAAAATACCGTTTTGCTAAATCTTGGTTAATCTGGTATATTATCCTATTTTGTTATTACATCAAGATAATCTTTATTGGTATCAAAACAATCTTATATCAGTAAATCCCAAATCCCAAATGATCAACTATAGAATTCATTCTTTTTGCTTAATATACACCGGTAATACTGTCACATTGATCTTTGTACATTATGATAGAGATCTATAGGTATATCATAATATCCGTTGCTTTTTTCCCACCATTTCAAGCAAAAGTATAACGGATTGATCTTAACTAGCATAATTTGGTATCTGTTTAATACACCTGAAAATATTACGTCGTAAATTGTTATGCACATTGCCGCCTATAAGCTGTTTTAGTGTCCGTTATGCTCTTTCAAACCGCCCCCGTGGTCGAGGGGTTAAAGTCGATGACTTCTAATCCAGTTACCTCTCTGGCGTGGGTTCGATCCCCGGGAGATGCTTTGGTAGTTTAGTGCGGAGGAAGGTAGTCTAGTACTGGTGTAACTCTCCAGGAACGATGGTTAGGAAACTACCCGCCTATATGACTGAAATACTGTTGGGAAAGGCGTAAAATGAAACAAACAATGCTCTTTCAATTATTTTAGTATCTGTGTTTTAAGTGTTACATGTATAAACTAAACTCAACTAAACTCAAATCATTTATTTGAACATAGAGACCTTCGGCCAAAAATACATTGTAAGGCATAGCACATAGTAAAAATGTCAAGTAGTTGTATATTGCGAACTTTTAAGTGTCATTAATTAAATTCATAAGCTGATATTTATAGTTGAAAATGATAAAAAAAACATCAAATATAAAAAAAAACTGTGAAAAAATATAAGTTAGAACTTCGACTTTTCACCTTATATGACTTGTCTAGACCCCCATATGAACCACAAACATACCTATAAGTGGTCTCATTCTTTAGCAGACATCCATAACTACACCACCATGTATGCTAACGATATAAACCTAGCCTGTGGGACTGGAACCGGGCTAAAAATGTTTAAAATTTCTCCATGTTAACCTAAAAATGAATTATCATCACTCGATATCTGCCTTATTAGGTAAGCCCTAATAACTCAAACTTTTTTTTTACTCTTTCGAGAAAACTCGATCTTTTTTTTCATTTATTTGATATTTCAAAAACATATAAATACAATCATTCACATTTACATACAACATTTGTAACTAAATATTAAACGTATCCATCTCATTTAAAAACACATTCATTAACCAAACATTAACCACACAGTCACTTGTTACAATCAAGATGCAGACATCACAGACTCAAAACAAATAACCAAACGAACTAAACAAATATTTTCCTATTTCGACAAATGATATAAGGTTGATACGACAAAAACTCCACAAAGAAAATTAATGTAAAAACAAACTTTCAAAATATAAAGAAGAAAAAGAATGAATCTGCTAAAAAAACTAGCATTCTTACACTAAAAAAATCCCACACACACATACACACACGCACACACACACCACCATTTTTTAAAATGTAATATGTCATTAGAATAATGATATGATTTACTACATTACTATTTATATTGTTGTAAGCTCTCCAAAAAACAATGTTTCTTTACTTTATGAAAAATGAAGTTTGACGGACAAGAGAAAAGAATGCAAGTTTGACAATAAATTTTGCACAATATTACATTCCCAAAATAGACGATGAAGAGTTTCTAAACTTCTGCAGCAAAAATCACACAAATTTGAATTGTATGGATTATATTTGAAAAGTATAGTGTTTGTTGCAGTAAGTCTATGGATAAACTTATACTGAAAATTTCTTAATGTCAAATCTATAGTACATTGTAGTAGTATAAAATATATCTTATTCCATTTCAATTCTATATCCATTACTTTTTCCCATTGATTTTCAATTTTATTTTTTACCTTCTTATCATTTTCAAGTTTGATATTATATAAAAAATTATTACTTGTTTTTTATTTTTGAATTTTATTGAGAAGCGTACCTTGTTCTTCCATATAAGTTGTGTTGTTTTTTAGTTTCTCAAGGTATTGTTTTGGTATATTGTTTATTAGCATAAAGTATCTTAAATAATCAGCATTTTCTATTCCGTAAATGTTTTTAAAATCATCATATTTATAGAAGGCTTTTCTCCTATAATCATAAAGATGTTCTTTATAAAGTATGCCTTTATCATGCCATGTTTTATAATAAACCATTTTGTTGTCAATTTAAATGCTAGAATTATTCCATAGTATGTCTTTAACATTATCTTTTTTTATTGTGCTCATGCTGAATGTGAAACTAAGACGAAAGAACATCATTCATGAACGATTTATGTGGATATAAATTATCAATATCATTTTTTGAAAGATTACAGTGGAAGATAAAATCATTTCCATATTGCTTTATCTTGTGTTTTACAAAACGTTTCCATGTACTCT